AAAAAATCCAAAACAAAATACTAAAAATTTTTCTAAAAAAAGACTCAAGTCACCAAACAAAATATTTATATAATGACATGAATATACTAACAATAAAAAAATTATTTTATAAAGCGTCGGTACTTTCTATAATTAAAAATAACCTTACTTTTAAAACTGAATACGGACACAATACTAGGCAAATATCTAATATCAAAGTACCAACTATGCCCAAAAAATTAACACAATCCACATACCTATATATTGGTCCAAACATTTTCAATATACTACCAATAGAAATTAAGCACAGCAACTCTTTTAAGATTCTTAAAAAAAATTACACTTTGGCTATTACAAGAACAAAATATAGACAGACTCATAACAAACGTATAGGATTACTGCATTATTTATCATATTAGTTGTACGACTTTAGTAATTATTGTTAGTTTTAGTTTTATATTACCATATTATATTGTATTATTTAATTACACAATTTTTTACATAATACTATATTATATAAACAAAGATAAGAAAATATATATTACTTATATTATTAATATTAAAGGTAGGTATGTGAGAAATGTATATTACAAATTGTAAATATTTAATTTATAAGAACTATTTAATGTATTTATATTTCAAATTGTGAACTCATGGGCCCCCACACGAAAATGTTCAGTGGGGCCCATCATCTTCTTAAAGAATAAATAAAAATAAAAAATAAAAATAAATATTTATGGACTATAGTAAACCGAACTCCATTCATAATCGTTTTTCGGATACGATAAACTATTACTTATTTAAAGTCCAATATCTAACGTACTGATATAGGTAAGCTACCAGAGGGAGATCGACGCACCTTAGCAGAGGGATCTTTGAAACACTTTTTTATATCCACACGCCTGCTTGTTTATAATTATTATTTTAATAATTTACTATAATTAATATAGTATAGTAAATTATTATTTAAATATTTTAATTTTTAACAATACTAGCTTATTTTCTAATAATTGTAAGATCGGTTGTAATAAAGTGTATAAATAATTGTTTATCCCTACTAGGAACCTATGAATAGTATGGGTGAATATGTGACATGATAATATGTGTCCTACCTTACGCCGACTTCGGTTCGTATAATATTCAATAAATGGGTATGAGGCGTTTCGTTGGACCAGAAAATATGACGTGTTCTTAAATAAATACACAATACGTGTTTCGCTGGAATTGCGCCACAGTTCACATCACTTATTAACTAATGCACTCGAGGTCGACGACGTGAAAACGGTGTTATCGTGAAGACGATTATAAGACGAAAAACGAGGAGACAAAGGAAGATGACGGTTAGGTTTTCCGAAAATTGAATGACCGACGACTCCATGATGGAAAATAACATAGCTGTCAACTCGCCAATATACTATAGATACCACGTTTCCAATGTGGACGGTCATCGTCGTCGAATTTATACTACAGTCCATAATATGGGTTAAAGCCGATTCACAGCTACGTCGTGTGTCGTGTATCTCGTGTCGTTTGAGGGCTTGGTAACTATATGGTTACAACTTGTAACCATATATTGGTTTAAAAGTTGAGCTGTATTGTCAATTCTTGGTATACTCGGTTGCAACTTTGTTATCATATAATACCAAATGAGTAACGTCCAATCACAATTGCGATTTCACGACACCCCACACGACGTAGCCTGTGCGGCTTAACCCCCCCGATATTTTCCGTGAGTCAGATAGGAAAACTACATCAGTGGTCACCGGCCGTTTTCTCCACGTCATCGTCCGATTTTCAATGGTTCTCGGCGCTCGATCAAAAGGTTTCACGCCACCGGTCAGAATTAATATATTCAATATTGCACGTCGAATAGGTACGTATATCTTTGAGCCTCGCCATTTCCGGTACGACGAAACGTGTCGCCCGTTTCCAGAGGATTAAGATAGCTGAACGAGACGCGTCAAGGTAAGACACGCAAGTACGGAACAATCATCAATATATTATTATGTTATGTTATCCACAGGTTTCTCATTGGTAGTATATGACGCGCCTCCAAGATCATTATTTAAAATTTATGACAGTTGAACATAATGTATTGTTATATATACATAGGTTTATAAAATCGAAATAAAACCTTGATGTATAATATATAGTCACAAAATCGCTAAGTCCTTAAATGCCATAAAAAATTGGTCTCTAGGCTTTAATATCTATATGTGATTAAAAATCCAAAATCTGAATTTTAATGAATGCATAATTTAACCACCTAAGAACGGGTTATTCGTGCTTAAAAACCACTTATAAGATGTATGAAATACGGACACATATGTAAAGACGTATTTAGGCAGGTAAACGTCGCCCCAAGTATATGTTATTTTTCATATGGGCATAACTATTGCTAAATTGTCTTCTTATTTTATTTGTAACAAATATTATTATCTTGTTGGAAAACATTCTTATTTAACTCGTTTTATGCACTAACGATTCATGTGGTTATGAAAGAACTGTGTTCTGAGACCTACGAGTGCTATGAGCATGCACCTACTTGATAGTAAAATGTGTTTAGTTTTCATTGTTGAATTTATTTTCCTGTTTAATTATATAATTTATGTAATATGTATAGAATTAAATTGTTCGCTATTGTCAACGTTTTAAATTCATAACAGTGGAGAGGAGTAACAAAAAAATCTAATACTTTGCCGTCAAAATTGTAAATTGATATCCATCTCTTACTATCTTGTATCGAAGTGGGTGAAGGGAGAGTTGAATATTGAACACCCAGCTTCAACATCTTGTATAGAAGGTAAGTAATTTTAATTCAAATAATATCCATATATCTATAAAAGACTTATTTTCGTTTTGAAGAATAATTTATTTGCAGAAGTCATAGATATTAAAGGTTATTTTTAATATATTATAATAATTTTTTTTTAATATTATATTATTATACCTATATATTATGATAATATACTATAGTATAATTTCACAACTATATTGTGTGTTTCATCCCCTAATTAAAAAAAAAATTGGCTAGAAAATGTATACATATAAGTATTAAGTATATGCTTTATTAAGTGCAACTTTATGATTGGTTAAGCTTAAAATAGATTTGGAGTTCACCCATTCATGTTGCATTTTTTAACTTCCGAGGTTAACCAATAAATATGTATTTATACGTAGGTACATAAGCAACCGAACTCTAATTTTAAAATATTTTTCATTAGAAGAAAATGTTGTAATATTAAAGATTTTTTTATTGAAACATTATTTACGATACATAATAATTATTATTACAATACTTTGTTTATAACCCAATTGTGCATACAATTTTAAAATTTAAATCTCATAAGCCTGAAAATTGAATGCGAAAGTTGGATAATGCGTAATGTGTTATTATATTTAATTAAAGTGTAAAAATAAAGGATTTATGAGTTTTATAATTTTATAATTCATTTTTAATTCTATATTATTATTATATACCATTGTAACAATGGGAAATCAATTAATTTATTGAATAACATGCAATGTTACAATTATTTGTAAATTGTATTCCATTATAAACTATGTAATTACGATTGTAATATTTACTGACAAATGGATAATACTACTTGAAATTTCATTTGTGATAGATATTTTGAATGCCATTCCGTTGTTCGGCGTTTACTGGAAGTTTAGATTATTATTATATCAATTAGTTAATGAGTAATGGCTATAAAAAATGGCTAAGATGATAGAGTTTCATTAAGTATCTATTATGGTTAGGTATACGAGGTTTAAAATAACTAATTAAATATTAACCAAAATATCTTCTCATCTATATATGCCATTTGAACTTGTAATAGGTATACCTACATAATAATATTTTCGTAATTCATTCTAAATCATACACAGTGAATGGTAATCAGTGATGTCATAAAGATCATACGAATACGGATAGATTGATATTTATATATTATAGGTATATACATCGGTACATTGGTAGGTACCTGGCGGCTGGCACAATAACTTTGCGTCGGGTTTGATACTTCGATGTCAGTATTACACCAACGTCAAGTCGTTACAATGGCATAATAAGAATAAATAATAATATTTAGGTAATAAGCAAAGTGATGTTTGGCGGTCAAGAGATCAGACTACCAGAGGTTGCAATTTAAAATATGTGGCGGCGTGTGTTTTATTGCTCACCACACAGTCGCGGCCAACGCGACGGGTGAGAGTGCGGTATTTTAACGCTGCACTGGCTGGCGGCATTGGTTTGTTATTGTTATTCTAAACGCTACAGCTACTACAACTTACAGTATAGGACCGCCACTGCTGCTGCCGCCGCCGCTACAATAACGGGGTCCCCGTATTAACGTCACGCCGCCCGTCAGTGCAGTGGGGCCCGATAACAGAACGTCAGTAGTGTGCGAGACACGCGCCGTGGTCCACCGTTTCGCCCGCACATTAGGTGAAGACGTTTCGATCTCGATTTAGTCGTGTAGTCGTACAACAGCAGCTATAGTGTAGTCACAGCAGCCGCTAGAAATTTTCACAGTAGCGATTGCGTAGTTATCTTTCAATTAGACGCGAAAAATCGTTATCGCCCGCCGACATTCGTCCCGGGCAGCCGCCTCCACAGCAGCCGCGGAATGCCCGTCGGTCGTCTTTCAGTAACGGAAAGTCGTCGGTTCGCGTTGAATACGCACACAGAGCCTGAGCAGGCTAGTTCGATCGATCGGTTTCACGACGACGATAGTATTACCGTCGCGTCCACGGCGATGTAGTACAGTACCCGGTGGTCGGTCAGATTTTCGTTTTACCACCCCATCCCCATTCAAGTGTTACCCCGTTTTCGAGCAAATAAAATTAATACGGTCGGTTGAAAAATATCGATTATCGTTTTCCCGCTTATAAAAAATAAAACAACTGCGCGTAAGTTAGACCCGGTCCGTCAATCATCAACGTATTTTCGTATTATATTGTAGGCGATCGAATTCAAATCGTCGTCCACGACGGCGGACACCACCATCCGCCTTGCCATGCACGCGATGCTGGCAGCGTGGACGTTACTCGGCGTGGCCGCGTCGTCGGACCCATGGCCGGCCGCCGCGTCCACCGTCGATGAGACAGCTGACTCGTACACTACAGCGTACCTGAACGTGACCAGCTACGACGTGGCCACGGGCGTCGCGGTTCAGACGGAAAAATCGGAGATCGGCAAGTTCGGCGAGTATCACGTGGGGGCCGCGTCCGGGATGCTGTTGCACGTCATCGGCACAGACGGTGACCGCAACGGGTGCGCTCCCCCCGTCCATGGCGTCCAGGAACCGCCGGACGCCGGGCCCTGGATAGCACTGGTGCGCAGGGGCAAGTGCAGTTTCCAGACTAAAGTGGACAACGCGCGACGGGCCGGCGCCTCAGCCGTGATCGTCTACAATGACCGCGAAGCCACCGACCTCGACAAAATGAAACTGACGCCTTCTGAACCTAGTGAGTACGACCTATACTTACTTACGATTCTTTGTCACTTAATTTATAACTAATAAGTTATAAGAAATGATATTTTTTTGTCTCATCCTCTACGTTTGCATCTCAACAATATGAAGGTCGCCGTTTTTTTTTTTTTGAAATTGTGCGTCGCTAAACACGATGATCTGTCGCTGCGCTTGTTCGAGGGGGCACACGTGATTAGAGTTGTTCGGTTTTCCCGGGAGACCGTAATGTAATGTACCTAATGTTTTTGACTGTTGTTTTCGAAACTTCACTGCGAACACGCATCGGGTTAACTGTTAACATCACAAGTCGCTCGTTCACTTACTAATAATATGTTATTCTAATTATTGTACATTTTAATAATATTATGTTGATACGTTTTTAAACGTTTAAACAATTACAGCTCCGAATTACTGGAATAAAAAAAAATTATTATATCAGCGGGGCAACAGTAAATGTTGTATAGGTATCTATAATGATGATTGATAGTAGTAAACATTTCATGATACACCAAAAGTTTGCAGACTAATTTTTTGAATTAACAGTTGGAGTAAGACAATTTAAAATATCTACAGGTAAGGTTGCCCGGAAAAAATGCAATGTATAGTAATGTATAGTACATCTATAATTTAAATATCCCCTCTGTATAATTCTAGTATTTTTCCTGAAAAATAGGTACCTGTACAGTATACCGCAAGATAAAAAATAAATACCCACGCACTGAATAATGTATAATAATATAAGAACCCCGTGCACTGTCATCTTACAAACACGCGAATTAACGAATCTTTTACAACAGTGACGAGTACATCCGTCAGCCGTGTCGCCCGCGTATGCGATTTGCACTCGAGAATCATAGTTGAGCATATTGTCCGTTTTTAATAATAATATAAAAAACCATTCAGGTGCGACGCACTCACTCGAAAACACTTAGGCGTAACCTGTATAATCTATAAATATTATGTACTTATTGAAACATACATAATTATGTATTATTCGTTATTTACTTGTAAATATTATACTATTATAGTGTATTGTAGACTAGACATAGGTACGTAACCAGATTATTGTAATTATCAACGGTCTGCGACAATATAACTATAATATTATTGATGCTATATTATTAAATTTGTTTTCGGTTAATACCTAACCCTATAGTCATTTATTCGTGATATTTTATTTTTTTACTCTTTCAGGCAATAAGCCAATAACAATATTATTATTAATGTTTTGTATTAATCACTTTTACTGCAGTATTATTATAATAATAATTTGATTATTAATGTATACAACGTAATATTTGTATGATTTGATGTCCTATTAAACTATTAAAGTATCGTTTATCTATTTCCAAATGAATATTTTATAACGTACATTTACTTGTTAAAATGTATTATTCGACGTTATATTTTTTAACCTATATTGATCATTAGAATAAAGATAAATTCTGTTGTCCTTATCGATATACAGTTACAATCAGTTAAAAAATAATAACAAAGTACAATAAAAGTATTAGAAAACAAAATAAATGATGATCAATCAAACATAATAATATTAGTGAGACTTGTATATTATACTTCCTACATTGCTATTATATAGGTACTTACTTATAATAATATTTTATTAGCTGAACCTTTTTAAGGTTGAACCTTTTAAGTATTTAAAAATCATTTATTAAAAAAGGCATTGATATCATATAATTTGTACTGTTTATGTGTTTGGAATATATTTGTTTTGTCCATACTAAAGTATATAACTTTAAATAATATATCAGAATTACTATCATGGAATATTTAACCATATTTTATTTAAAGAAAGAATTTTCTATTGATTTCTTAATAAAGTATTTTTGTGAATAATTCTTAGTCCATTAGTCCAATACAAATATACAATATGATAACTTAATAAATAATAATAATATAATATAATAGGTAAATCATATCAGATTCCGAGCGGAGTGAGGGATCTAGTGGTTTTACAATGGTATTAATTTTTTTTTTTTTATCCTGTATACAACATTTCTACCAGAAGGAATTTCTTCGATTTCAACATATCGTATCTTATTTTTTAGCAAATTAGATCAAAATGATACTTTAGAGAGGTATTTTCTCTATTTTATCAATAGTTATTTAATGCCACTGGAAAAACCACCGTCAAATTACAAAAAAACCGATAAAAATGGGATTTTAATTTCTAACTCTTTGTCTATCACCATAGAAACGAATAAAAATAAAAATAATTTTTTTAGTTATTTTGTTGTAATTTATAATATTAATTCAAATTACAGGCTATAATAAAATATAATACCAATATAAAATATCTAGACTGACAAACCCAGTGGCGTCATTTCCGTTTTTATTAGACTAGGGCAACTTTTCACTGCTTTTCAGACTGAACATTTTTTTCACTCAGATTCTCATGGTATAGTGACATAGAGGTTATTCGGGGGGGGGGAGGTGTGGTAAATGTGCTGACTTAAGGTTGATGTAAAAACTAGACTGGGGCAAATACCCCAGTTCCCCCCTTCCAAAATGAAGCCACTGGACAAACCGTCTCCGCTTAGAATCGTTTTTCGTATACAATGATATGATATCATTAATTTTAAATTTAATACAATCCATTATACAGTGACCCACTTGTAACCTACTGTACAGCAGAGCGACATCCACTTACCCGCTTTTTTGATGAATTATTATTATTATTAGATAATTCATTCCCTTGATTTTACTTTAAATACTTACCTATAATTTGTAGTGCTATCAATGATAACTTTACTTATCATTATATGTAAATAATCAATGATCGGTAAATAAAACTATGTTTACCCCTCTTTTTGCGTACCTACCTAAGTAGGTACATAGGTGGAAATGGTATAAACCTTGAATAAAGTTAAATAAAAGTTTTTTTGCTTCACTCGAAATAATTATTTCCATTAAGCCATTGTTTTTTGAACCATAGGTAGGTACAAGTATATTTTGTGCTTTAAGAAGGTAGTTTTTGGATATTTCTAGTAGGTACGTAGTACTTTTCCAAAAAATAAATTCATGAAAAACCTGAACATTGTATAATACATATAACTTTTACAAGACCATTCTGAATTATCTATAATATGAAACATGCACTTTGAAATATTAACACATAAACACCATATCATTATAATGTATTTAAGTATAAGTTACTCCTCACACACTGCAGCGGTGGTAATAAAATTCTATTGTCTTGGCGGTACCGCCTCCGTAGGTAGCGGTAAATTGTGTCGGCTGAATTTTAACATATTAGGTGTGTTCAGACCTAAAACGTGAACTTGAACGAACGGGATTTTGGTACATCGAAATGTACCGAACACATATACCTAATATACTATTTGGAGGAGAATTCGCGTTCGGAGGGGTTGAGCCGTTGGCGGTAAGATCAAATAAAATGCTATTTAGTATGAACGACATTCGGGATTTTGGTTTGTCACAACAATTTGCTTGCATTTGCGTCCCGAGCGAAGGCTAGCGAACGTTGGACAATGGTAAATGAATAGTCTGCAGTCTGCACCTTTCAAACTCTACCGAATTCGTGTACGGTTTAGCCTATTCATTTTCCAGCATTGCCTAGCATTCGCTCGAGACGCTAACAAAATCTAATTGTTGTCACAGGCCGAATTCTGCAAGGGCGCCAGCAGAAACTGGGGAAGGGGTTCAAAGTCAAAAGTCAAGAACATAATAGGGCACAACAATTTTTTTTTACAAAACATGATAAAAAAATTATATTAACTATAATAACGAGAGAGGGACCATAAACAGTCCTCCCCCGGGCCCTCCTTGGTCATCCTTGACCTATGTTGTTCACAGTGTGTAGCATTTTATTTAATGTTATACCAATCTAAACGCATATGAATGTACCAAATTTGAATTAGTTCGAATTTATGGCCTAATGTATATGCACTTTTACGCTACCACTAGCGGTATAGCTAGTGTGCGTGGGGGCTCAATCATAACAATATGAATATGTGATAGATATTTTTATAAGTTTAAAAATCAATAGTTAGAAAATGATTTAGGTTTTATCATGACAAATATTGTCAATTGATAAATAAGCTATAATAACTATCTGCTATCATATTAGTATATTACATTTGCGGTGAAAATGTTTGGTTTGGTTTTCAAAATAGTTTTGAATAATCACCTGATATCTACTAGAAACCATCTGATAATTGAATATTGCAAATAACAGAATATTTACTATAACGCCATAACATCTATGTGTACCTATGTGAACTTTATACAAGCTATCATAATAACTTACGTTTTAGGCATTTCACATAATATTTTACATTGTATAATTATAATTTACAGATATATGTATTATTATATAATATTTGGTTTATAGTTTTGTTCGTATATACGGTAAACATACAATATAATATAATATTACAAGTCATACACAATATTAAACAGGCATTGAAAATCCATTTATACCGACTATACACAGATAATAATTGTGTTTCTTTGTTATCTCTATTTGAATATTATTATTTAATATTGATAAACTATACACTAAACAAAGTAACCTGTATCCTATAGTAGATATATATCATATATTAACATGTTCCTGTATACTACTACTTACTACCTACTTTGTAAAATAATAATTGTGAAGTACTTAGCAATCTTTATATCTATACTTCTTAAATATACCTATAGACAAAAACCTAACCAATTAATTATTTTTATTTATTCTTATACAGTGTGATCATGATTTCAAGTAACACTAAATATTTCGCAGAGATGACATTTTAAAATGTTAATTTTCGGCGCACTCATGCGTAATATAACATGTAATTTTTCAAATTTTAAAACCTCTTTTTAGCACACAATTTAGATTGACTGCATTTTTGAAATTGATTTGACTTATAACACTTGGTTATAAATTTGAAATTGAGTGAATAACAGTCATCATTCAAATTTATAAAAAAAAAAAGCTCTTTCAAAATATTTACCTATTTAGGA